AAGGAAACAGGCATCAAAATCCAGGAGGCACAGAGAACCCCTCTCAAAATCAATAATAATAGGTCTACACCCCAACATCCAGTAGTAAAACTTAGGAGTCTCAGAGACAAAGAGAAAATCCTGAAAGCAGCTCGGGAGAAGAGATATGTAACCTACAATGGTAGAAACATTAGATTGGCAACAGACCTATCCACAGAGACCTGGCAGGCCAGAAAGGACTGGCAAGATATCTTCAGAGCACTAAACGAGAAAAATATGCAGCCAAGAATACTATATCCAGCTAGGCTGTCATTGAAAATAGAAGGAGAGATAAAAAGCTTCCAGGACAAACAAAAACTAAAGGAATTTGCAAACACGAAACCAGCCCTGCAAGAAATATTGAAAGGGGTCCTCTAAGCAAAGAGAGAGCCTAAAAGCAGCATAGATCAGAAAGGAACACAGGCAATATACAGTAACAGTCACCTTACAGGCAATACAATGGCACTAAATTCATACCTTTCAATAGTTACCCTGAATGTAAATGGGCTAAATGCCCCAATCAAAAGACACAGGCTACCAGATTGGATTAAAAAACAAGACCCATCTATATGCTGTCTGCAAGAGACTCATTTTAGACCCAAAGACACCCCCAGATTGAAAGAGGGGGTGGGAAACAATTTACCATGCTAATGGACACCAAAAGAAAGCTGGGGTGGCAATCCTTCTATCAGACAAATTAGATTTTAAAACAAAGACTGTAATAAGAGATGAAGAAGGACACTATATTCTACTTAAAGGGTCTATCCAACAAGAAGATCTAACAACTGTAAGTATCTATGCCCCTAACATGGGAGCAGCCAATTATATAAGGCAATTAATAACAAAAGCAAAGAAACACATTGACAACAATACAATAATAGCGGGGGACTTTAACACCCCCCTCACTGAAATGGACAGATCATCAAAGCAAAAGATCAACAAGGAAATAAAGACTTTAAATGACACACTGGACCAGATGGACTTCACAGACATATTCAGAACATTCCATCCCAAAGCAACGGAATACACATTCTTCTCTAGTGCCCATGGAACATTCTCCAGAATTGATCACATCCTAGGTCACAAACCAGGTTCAACCGGTACCAAAACACTGGGATCATTCCCTGCATATTTTCAGATCACAATGCTTTGAAACTAGAACTCAATCACAAGAGGAAAGTCGGAAAGAACTCAAATACATGGAGGCTAAAGAGCATCCTACTAAAGAATGAATGGGTCAACCAGGAAATTAAGGAAGCATTAAGAAAATTCATGGAAACCAATGAAAATGAAAACACAACTGTTCAAAATCTTTGGGATACAGCAAAGGCAGTCCTGAGAGGAAAGTATATAGCAATACAAGGCTTTCTCAAGAAACAAGAAAGGTCTCAAATACACAACCTAACCCTACACCTAAAGGAGCTGGAGAAAGAACAGCAAATAAAGCCTAAACCCAGCAGGAGAAGAGAAATGATAAAGATCAGAGCAGAAATCAATGAACTAGAAACCAAAAGAACAGTAGAACAGATCAACGAAACTAGGAACTGGTTCTGTGAAAGAATTAACAAGTTTGATAAACCCCTGGCCAGACTTATCAAAAAGAAAAGAAATGACCCAAATCCACAAAATCATGAATGAAAGAGGAGCGATCACAACCAACACCAAAGAAATACAAACAATTATAAGAACATATTATGAGCAACTCTATGCCAGCAAATTAGATAACCTGGAAGAAATGGGTGCATTCCTAGAGATGGATCAACTACCAAAATTGAACCAGGAAGAAATAGAAAACCTGAACAGACCTATAACCACTAAGGAGATTGAAGCAGTCATCAAAAATCTCCCAAGAAACAAAAGCCCAGGGCAGATGGCTTCCCAGGGGAATTCTATCAGACATTCAAAGAAGAATGAATACCTATTCTCCTGAAACTGTTCCAAAAAATAGAAATGGAAGGAAAACTTCCAAACTCATTTTATGAGGCCAGCATTACCTTGATCCCCAAACCAGACAAACACCCCATCAAAAAGGAAAATTACAGACAAATATCCTTGACGAACATGGATGCAAAAATTCTTGTGAAGATGGATCTTGCCATTTGCAACGACGTGGATGGAACTGGAGGGTGTTATGCTGAGTGAAATAAGTCAATCAGAGAAAGACATATATGACCTCACTGATATGAGGAATTATTAATCTCAGGAAACAAACTGAGGGTTGCTGGAATGGTGGGGGCTGGGAGGGATGGGGTGGCTGGGTGATAGACATTGGGTAGGGTATGTGCTATGGTGAGCACTGTGAATTGTGCAAGACCTTTGAATCACAGATCTGTACTTCTGAAACAAATAATGCAACATATGTTAAGAAAAAAGAAAAAGAAGAAGATAGCAGGAGGGGAAGAAAGAAGGGGAGTAAGCCGGACGGGGAGACGAACCATGAGAGACGATGGAATCTGAGAAACGGACCTGGGGTTCTAGAGGGGAGGAGGGTAGGGGCATGGGTTAGCCTGGTGATGGGTATTAAAGAGGGCACATTCTGCATGGAGCACTGGGTGTTATGCACAAACAATGAATCATGGAACACTACATCAAAAACTAATGATGTAATATATGGTGATTAACATAACAATAAAAATTTTTTTAAAAATTAATTTCACCAGGTTTTTTTAGAGGGGCTATTAGAAATTTTGAAATTATGTATATGGCTCATATAATATTTCTATCAGTGCTGCTCTAGATCAAGATAGCTAACTACATTTTTCTGGGGAGAAGATTCATAGCATTCCCAAGAGTCTGAAGTCCCAAAGGAGGACACAGTACCTGACAGAATTATAAGGTCACCTCTCTGGCTCCTTCTGGAGGCTGCCCTCATAAGACCTTTTCAGAGAAGAAATTTGTTTTAAAATAAGGCATTTTACCAAATCACTGTACTCTCCCATGAAAGGGAGGTTTTCAGCATCTATCTCTTCTGATGCTCATCCACTGGCTGGCCAGCTTGGAGCAGGCCTAGATATGCTGGTACTGAAAAATCTTAGTTCTTGACAAGAGTTAGCCTTCCAGAGAAGAGTTACAGCGTGAGAACTGCAGCAGCAGGATTTACCTCGCCACCTTCTGCCTCCCTCCCCACACCCACGTCCTCTGCCAAAAAAAGCAGGGTCTTTATTTGAACAAAAATCCTAAAAGGCTGTGAAACTGTTGCATGGCTAATTAAAAACTAAAAGTAAAAACCAAAAAACTAAGCTAAAAGTAATTAAAACTGCTGAACCGAGAAGTTCATGGGGATAGCACAAAAATCAGGTTAGAAGCAAGGAAATTAAAAGCATTCTTTACTTTCCAATAATAAAATACTCCTTGTTAGTCATTTTGTAAGTTAAATGACAACACTGAGAGTGGTATATCCTTAATAAAGCAGTTGCAGAGCATTTTATTGTCTCATGCTGTACCATTTGTGTTTCTCTCAGAAAGCTGAACATCGTTACATTCTTCTGTTTTACATATTGCATATCAGTTCCAGACTTACTAGACCGTAAGTTCGTAACTGAGGAAGGGAGGCCAGGAGTGAGACTACCAATGCCAGGACAGGGCCAATTAGGAGATGGTGGAGGTGTGTATAGATTTAAAAAGCATATTCAAAATAATCATTGTTCTGATTTAGCCAGGATAGGTGGTATATTTTGAAGTTTCAAAGAATATTAAAGGATGTATGGTTTGATTCTCAAAAGGGAGCACAAGTGAAAACAAGTTTGAGGATCATGGCCCTAAGTCCACGTTGCTTTCCATGAGAGCAGGGTAGTACAGTTAAATGTCAGCTCACACGTGAGCAAATCAAAATTCTAAGAATTCTTTGTACTGGAGGGAATAACACTGAATAAAATGACCCTGTGTAATTGTCTACTAAGTTCTTTAATCAGAGTAAGTTTGGACTATAAATTTGACATACACAAAGTAGAAGTTTCCTACCTACCTAAAGCATGCCTACACTTATCACCCAAAGTAGGTATACTTGAAAAGTAAACACAGCATTTCAACTTAGTATGATCTTGTAAGGCAGAAAAAAGTCTGTAGGTCACTTTCCTTACAGCCACTTTTCATCCACAAGGAAGGCAAGAGCCATAAACTTTCTCTACAAAACAAGTGGAATCAATGTTAGTACAAGACTGGATTATTAAAAATTTTGAGTTATCACTTCATCACCATCTGGGCCCATGGGAGCAGCAGAGTTGAGAATTAGGGACAAGTTGGAAATTTCCTTAGCCTGTTGGCAGCAGTCACCACGTAGAAATGTTTCTTGATGTTAAGGAGAGAAAAGAAGAAAAAAATATATTTTAGACCAATTGCTTTAAGAAGAAAAAATAAAAGGACTTAAACAAGTTTAGCCACTTGGGTTTGTTCAAAACTGAGAACCTAATGGAGAAAACAAATTTGTGGCAAAATTCTAGTAGAATAGCCACACAACTGGGGCATTCTGGAGTGAGTGTGAAGTGAGAAAATACATTATCCCGCCCTTTTCGTGTGAAAAATGGAGCCCACTGGAATACTGTCTTTCAAATTGTGATTCATAATCCACCAGTGGGTCATGAAGTCAAATTGGTGGGTTATGACCAGCACTTTTTTGAGTGAAAACAAATACCACAGAATAGAAAATACCTGAGTACATCACACTCTGTTTAGCAAACGTTGAGATATTTTTATTTCATATGTGTATGTATGTATTTGTATACTTGTATACTGGCTCTCTAGGTAAAGCCTTTTGTTTTTGATTTTTAGTGAGGATCTGAGTTGATATCAAAATGCTGGAAAGCCACTTTCCTGGAGGACAAATGTTTCTGGGACAGATTTTATGTCCATGGTACCAAAGAATTCTATTTGTAGATAAAAGTATGAAGCTTTTACAACCTAATAGGGTTTTCCCAGCCCCTCTTTCTGAAATATGGAGGAATCAAATCTCAAGCTGCAGGCAATAAGTTCCAAGCCCTTTACTCCTATTGTCATTGAGAACACATGCTCAAACTTCATTCTGTCACTACAAGTGTCCACCTAAGTATGAACTTAATGCCACTTTTATGCCAGTTGGTTTTGGTCGGTGGCATTTTTAATCAAGGTAACAGGTTTTGACATAAGATACTTTTTTCTCCTAAATAATCTTTCTATTTAGAATGAAAATGTAAGTAAAAACTTAGCTACACTTCTTTCAAAGGACACATTAAAAAGACAAATGCTGCCTTTCCTAAGAAAAAACAGATACCTTCCATTTCCTCTGAGCCATGTATTTCTGCAGTAATAATTGGGATTTGAGACGAACTTTGGATTTTGAAGCTTTGGCAGGCAAATTATTCAACCACTCATGTTTCAGGCACTGTGTGGCACTCATTCTGCAGCTGAGAAAAGAGAAGTTGAAGCTGTCAGTTAGGGTTGCCTTTTCTGGTTGTCCAGAAGATGGTTCAGCTGGGTAGGAAGCCCGAGTCAATGGAACGGATTAATCATTTGGCGAGATTCGTGCCACGTACTAAAAAGGAACTCCTCGTGTCTAAAATTCCCCTCCTTAGAAGTACAAGAAAGTCATCAGCAAAATGTCCCTGCCCTCTGTAGAGAGACTGTATCCCAGTGATTAGTCACCTCTTCCAGAGAGCTGGGCATCGAGGCATGGAGTAGCAAGGCCAGCTGAGCCTGGAATTGCTCTTAAGAAGTCAAAGAACATGAGCCTTGAAAGAAGCTTGTCTCTCTTTCCAGAGAAAAATGTCAGTTTTGTTCATCTGAATTAAAAATACTTTTCCTCTCACAACTTTTCACCATCAGAAAGAACAAAATAGTAAAGGCCAGGGAACTGTGGGCTGTCTCAGAGCCCAGACTCTTGGGCTTCATCCTGGGTCATTTGCAATTATTTCTTTATGTCTGATGAGTATCAGAAAACTCCATGGTTCCATCCATGACTTGGATATGGCTGCTGAAAACAAAGTAGGCCTTCATTCTCAACAAATGAGGTTTTCTGGCCTGTATTCTGGGGAATAACATCTACATATCTCAACTTTTTTTCAACATTAACCTATTAAAAGTGATAACTTGGTAGTAGGACTAATTTATATATGTGGTCCTTTCTAAAACTCTCTAAATTTTATGCTCCTAGTTGTTTATTTTTTAATTGATTTCCTTCATCTCTTTCCCTGCTACTTTTTTTGCTCCAAAGAGGTAGCGAACTAAGAAACCTTGGACAGAGTTGGTCCAGAGGACACCGCCCAGCACCAGCTTGATATTCACAGCACTCACATGGGTGGTCCCATCAGAATGGTTTGAGAATGACGAGCAATGAAGGGTACCTCTTCTCTTTGACGAGCAGGCGGGAAACAAAGTCCTTGGCCTCCTCAGACAGCCCTTCAAAGGTGTCAGCGTCAAAATCCCAGCTACAGTTCACAATGAAATTCATGGTCTCTGCATCTGTTTCCCCTAGAAATGGGGACAAACCACTGAGTCTACAGAGGAGAGAAAGGACTGTCAGTCTGTAGAAAGCCATTATCTGCCAACACGCAACAACAGGATAGAGGTCTTACAAGGTTCAAGCAACATTAACCAGAACCAAGAGGGTTCAAAAGAAAAGCACCCCCATTACTTCTCCACAGGAAATAGTCCAGTGTGTTCTGTTAGGGGAAGAAGTGGCAGGACTGAAAATTTAGAGGCATGAAGAGTGTTTGAATAAATCCCCAGTCATGCTCACCTATTTTCCTTTTAGCCTGAAGTGAAGAATAAATTGAGACCCAGTCCAATATGTCCACTTATCAGGTACATATTGATTTAATTTAAAAATACCTTAGCATGTCTCTGAGACAGCCTGGCTAGTTTAGAGACTACCCCAGGCCTCAGGGCCCAAAAGAAAACTGGTTTCCTTAGGCCCCTCTAGAGTGAGGCCAGAGAGACAGGACAGTCTAACTGGCTGGACTCGGGCCTCAAACTTCCCCCACCTGATGTGTACACACATACAAAGTGTGGGGACACACGGTAGCAACTGTACCATAATGATAGGTCTGGGAGCAAAGCATGACTTGATTGGGCCTCTGAGGAAAAAGCCAAGGGAAGTCACACAGAGATAAGGATGCTTAGTCAGTGTACATAGCTCCTCTCAGTCCATCCTAACTCTGCTTCCTCAGTCCAGAGAAAAAGGCGCAGGGCAGGAGGGACAAGGTTAGATGATGCAGCAGTCAGTGTCCTGCCCTGTCCATCTCCTCTCCTTACTACTCTGCTGTACTGCATTTCCTGGCTGGAGAACTTTCTCTCCAGGCGAAGCTGCTTTATCCACTCAGAAGTTTCAGGGAACCAGTGGCCTCGGCATCAGCTCACAAGCAATGACTGATAAGAGTTGGTGTATAAATACCCTAAGTCCCTCCCTGTTCAGATAGAATAACTGTGAAGGGCTGTTCCACGATGGATCCCAGACTTCCCCCGCAGGATTCAACTCCAGTTGCCCACAGTGGTAAGTGGCTGAATAGCACATGCTTTACTGGTGTCCTCCCCTGTCTCACTTCCCTACTCCTCTGTTGCTGTTTCCTGGGAACACCTCTCAAATGACTCACACTCAAAGTTTTGCTGCTTCTAAGGATACCCAAACTAAGACAGATGGCCCCTATTCTCACTGGGAGCCAGGCTTCTGGGCACTCACAGCATGTAGATGATGACTCCCACACTCCACATGTCCGTAGGGAAGGAAACAAATTCATAGTTGACAACTTCCGGGGCCAGGAACTCTGGAGTGCCGAAGTTCACCTTCAGCTTCTCCCGAGGCTTGTACCTGGGGAAGAGGGGGTGCAAAGGACCATGGGAGTGAGCCCTGAGAGAAGATGTGGAGGCTGGGACTAATTCCAGGTAGGAGCTAGACATTCCCAACCCTTCCTGTCTGCCATGTTGTCTGGACCTCCCAACCCACCATATGCAGTTTACTGAGTAATCATTATACCCTTGGCCCCAACTTCAGACTTTCCTAAGTCACTAGGAAGAATCAGAAAACCACAGCCCCTCTCCCTCCAAGCAATTACAACGTGAAAAGGAGAGATGATCAATATATCTTATTCAGCATGTAGCCACATGAACAAGCACAAACAAATTGGATAGCAGCTGTCTGGAGGTCTGCTCTCATGATGTGAGCAATTTGGTTGGCGAGATGACAGTAAGAATTAGAAAAAGCAAATATGCTCAATATCACTAATTATCAGGAAAATACAAATCAAAACCACAATGAGATACCACTGCCCATCATGACTCCTATAAAACAACCAAACAAACAAAAGACCAGAAAATAGCAAGAGCTGGCTAGGATGTAGAGAAATTGGAACCCTTGCTGGTGGGAATGTAAAGTGGTGCTGTTGCTATGGAGAACAGTATGGCAGTTCCTCAAAAAAATTAAAAATAGAACTACCACATGATCCAGCTATCCCACTTCTGGGTGTATATCCAAAAAAAACTGAAAGCAGAATCTTGAGGAGATGTTTACATACCCATATTCATAGCAGCATTATTCATAATAGACAAATGGAGGAAGTAACCCAAGTAAGTGTCTATCGGTGGATGACTGCATAAGTAAAATGTGGTAGATACGTACAGTGGAATATTATTCAGCCTTACAATATAAGGCAATTCTGACACATGCTGCAATATGGGTGAACCTCCAGGACATTATGCTAAGTGAAAGAAGTCAGTCACAAAAAGACAAATACTGTATGGTTCCACTTTGATAAAGTACCTAGAGTGGTCAAAGTCAGAGACAGAGGGTAGAATGGTAGTTTCCAGGTGCTGGAGGCAGGAGGAAAATGACCAGTTATTGTTTAACTGGTATAGAGTTTCAGTTTTTGCAAGATGAAAAGAGTTCTAGAAATTGCGTATATATTTAACACTATTGAATTAAATTTAAAAATGGTTAAGATGTTAAGTTTTATGTTATGTGTATTTTACACAATTACAAAAAGAATAAGAATTAGAAAAAAGGTTCTGGGGACCTGGGTGGCTCAGTCAGTTAAGTGTCTGCCTTTGGCTCAGGTCATGATCCCAGGGGCTTGGGATTGAGCCCCGCATCAGGTGGGGCTCCCTGCTCAGCAGGAAGCCTGCTTCTCCCTCTGCCTCTGCCCCTGCTCGTGCTCCCTCTCTCTCTCTTTCTCTCTCTCAAATAAATCAATAAAAGAGCGCATGCTGAGTGAGAGAGAGCATAAGTAGGGGGAGGGGAAGGGGCAGAGGGAGAAGCAGACTCCCCGTTGAGCAGGGAGCCCGACACAGGGCTCAGTCCCAGGATGCTGGGATCATGACCTGAGCCGAAGGCAGACATTCAACCAACGGAGCCACCCAGGCGCCCCAGTAAATAAAATCTTAAAAAAAAAAAAAAGGTTCTGGACAGGAAGATTAATAAAGGTTAGAAAGAGAGTTGATGGCTGAGTGGGAAAGGGGATGGCTAAAAGTGGTTTTTAGAATTTTTAGTCTTTTAGAAAGTCTTTAGCTAAAATTTAATGGGCAACAACCAAGATGTCCTTTAGTAGGTGAGTAGATAAATAAACTGTGGTACATCCAGACAGTGGAATACTATTCAGTGCTAAAAAGAAATGAATTATCAAGCCATGAAAAGACATAGAGGAAACAAGTCCACAGTAGTAAGTGAAAGAAGCCAGTCTGAATAGGCTACTGTATGATTCCAACTAGAGGTCATTCAAGAAAGGGCAAAACTATTGAGACATAAAAAGATCAGTGGTTGCCAGGGGTTGGGGTGGGGAGAGGAAGGGAGAGATAAATAGGTGGAGAACAGAGGATTTGTAGGCTTAAAAATACTCCATATGGTACCATAACGATGGATACATGTCATTATACATTTGTCCAAACCCACAGAATGTCCAACACCAAGAGTGAACAGTAATGTAAAGTATGGTCTTTGAGTGATAATATGTCAGTGTAAGTTCATCTATGGTAACAAATGTACTACCCTGTACTACCCTGGTCGGGGAGGCATGACTGGGAGCAAGGGGTATATGGGAAATCTCTGCACCTTCCCCTCAATTTCACTGTGAACCTAAGATTGTTCTAAAAAAAAAGTATTAATTTATAAAATATAATGGGCACTTCCTGTTTGCCAGGCTAAAAGTTTTACATATATATAATCTCTTCTCATTCTTAAACAGCCCCATGAAGTCTGTAAGATTACTGTCCCCATCTTACAGATAAGGCAATTGAGAATAAAATGAATATTCTGCCAATGTGCCCTGCTTCCCTTAAGCCAGGGAAGTGACTGTGAAAGAGCTTTCTCTTCCAAATTTGCTGAGAGCCAGATAAATGCAGACCTGGGCCAACACAGCCTACATTCATCCAGTGAAGGAGCTAAAAGGATCATCATGGTAGCCTTGTTGAGCGGGAAGCAAGGGACCTAGAAGAGAGCAGGAACCATCCTCTGGCAACATGCTGCTCCCCTATCCTGGCAGCTGACTCAGGGCCGGGGAGCCGAGCTGAAAGGGACAACAAGCAGCCTACTATGCTCAAACAAGTCCCCATGGAAGGCCACAGCCTCCAGCACCTCAGGGCCAATAATCAGAAGAGGACGATATAGTATTTGATTCATTTATGAGGAAAAAAAAACCTTTGTTAAGTAAATGGATGAAGAAGCCTTGATGAAGATCTTAATTTTGGTTTTGTTGTAAAATAGTGTGTTGTTTTCTTTTGAAAATGTACAAAATATCTATCACTAGATAGTAAGTTAATATTTGTGTAGAAATGAAAATTGGTTTGTGTTTCCAGCAAATGTATTTGCAACTATGATGTAGTCAGTGCTTTATGATATAAATGTACTTTTTCAATGTGTACTTTCACTTTTTTAAATGCATGTTTCGTGTTTCACAATAAAAGATCTGAAACCTCCCTCCATCCCCCGCAAAAAAGGAGAGAAGAAGGAAAAAGAGAGGAGAGAAGACCCAGGCTCTCAGCCCCTGGAAGCCACTTTCCCAGAGGCTGCATGATTGTTCTCACTGCTTCATCTTGCCCCATAGCCACATCCTGTACCACACAACTTTGTAGCTCACTCCACTAGAGGCAACATATATTGCCCCACCCCAATGACACTGGGCCCAGCCATACGAGCAGTCGGGGGAGTGACAGCGGGCCCATCCAAGCTAGACTGTAAAAGCCTGCCCTCTAGTTCCTCTGCCATCACCATGAGGAGAGAATGGGAGACGCATGGAGCAGATCCGTCCTTGGACCCAGGATCTGCATCCTGGATCCAAGCCGTGTCAGCTCAGTGACTGGGAATCAGTGATTCCGGACCAGTGGTGCATGGGTAAATATTTAACAACCAGCCATCTGATTAAAACAAAACAAAACAAAAGTCCTGATTTGCAGCATTTGCCATTTTCAGTGGTATAAATACTGATTTCACCCTGACTGATTGCAAACTACCATCCTGACATCACTAAACGCAGAGCTGGGAAGAGACTTGCCATAGCACACCATTCCACGGCCTTCCCACTGTACACATACAACAGGCACAAATGACCTCAGGAGTAGTGAAATGTAGTAAAATAATTAGGAAGTGGTAACATCTGAAAATGTAATCTTTGTTTTTCATATAAGTTCGTTAATTGTTAATTAACAGTATGTTTTAACAACTGTTTACAAGGTTCCTTATCATGAGCTGCTATGAGTTGAGTCCAGCATACCGCTCCCCCAGCTGGCTTGTAAATGGGTGGATGAGAAGAAATGACTGTTTTAAGCCTCTGCAATTTGGGGTGGTTTGTTTTTTCTTTTTAAAGATTTTATTTATTTATTTGACAGAAAGACAGAGACAGTGAGAGAGGAACACAAGCAAGGGAAGTGGCAGAGGGAGAAGCAGGCTTCCCGCTGAGCAGGGAGCCCTATGCGAGGCCCCTGGGATCATGACCTGAGCCGAAGACAGATGCCTAACGACTGAGCCCCTGGGGTGGTTTGTTATACAGTAGTACTGTGGCAGCGACTAACCCCAAAGCCAGGTCAAAATATCCACCAAGACCCCCTCTCCAAATTCCTAGCATAAGGCCCTCTGTGACCATAGAGTCACATATGAGGTGGCAGCCTCATGGAGGCTGGGGTGGGCACCTCCTTGCCCTGCCAAAGGATCTGATGAAATAGGCTTGGATTCCAATCTGAGCACCGGACTGGCAGTCAGGAAGCCGAACCCTGCACCCAACATTCTGGAGACCAAACTTAAATAAGATATTTCCCAACCCAACCCCATCCTTGACCCTTGATAGGTTCCCTTCTTAGACCCACTGATGGGTCTCACTGCCCAGCCTGGTGTAACGCTGCTCCCTCTTGCTGGATGTCATGGCCTCTGAAGATCTGTGTGTGCCAAACCTCCCCCCCAACTGGCTCCATGACAGGGGCCATCCCCCCAATGAAAATCTCAGCATCTTCTAATAGCTCCACCCAGAAATACCACTTTACTTTCTACAGTTTGTATTATAGGGGAAAACTGGCTTTTCCTCCTTCTTTACAAACATTTACTACTTCTGGCATATAAAATATGCTCTCTCAACCTGCACATTGCCCCCACAGAGTCTTCTTCTTAGGACATGCTTCCCAGGAAGCAGGCCAATCTGGCAAAATCCAATTTGCCAAATGATCCTTTTGCCCAATGGCCAGGTTGCCAGACTGTTGAGGGTGTTTTTGATGTTTTCCTTTCACCTCCCCACTGGAAGCTGGGCCTCCGTCAGCCCAGCTCTGCTGAGTGCGGTTTCCTGAGTATCACATGTTTCAGACACCTGCACTTCCCCAGTGCCCAGGAGTTTCACATGGCGGCCTTCTCTTCAATGTGGTTCCCCATGTTTATTTTCTTGGACTTGCCCTCCATCTCTGGGGCATTGGCAAAATTATTGTCATCAATGCCTTTGTCCCAGTTAAGAAATTTATCTGACAGTTTGGGATGGACGGCTGAGAGTTTGGGGATAGACTTTGACTAACATGCTTGGTAAGTTGGCCCACAGCCCTTTTCACTTCCCCACCAGGTAACTTAGTGGCCTAGAGGATAATGTTCCAACATTCAGGACTCCTTATTAACGCCCTCATCTTCACTGTATCTTCCTCCCCCGATCCCACCCCAGCTCCTGCCCTCCCCAAGAGATCCTGTGCATGCATGGTGTACATCCTATACCAGCACCCAACTTCCATGCACCCCCACCACTCCCACCCCCACCTCACCCTTCCACCCCCTCACCCCCCATATGCTGGAGCCGGTTCTCACCGGTACATGACAGTCAGTTGTGCCCATCTCCTCCCAATCTGCATTCAGTGACATCATGTTGGTAGGTTGAACTCAGCTAAAATTAGCAAAGGCTACAAGTCAAACCCATTCCCCACCCCCCATCCCCAGAGCTGATAAACATTTACCAGCATACTACTGCCTGCAGATAACCACACCCCGTCCATCTCTCCCTTCCAACCACTCAGAGAAGCCTTCCCAGAATCCAGGAGCCTCAGCTGGCAAATCCTTGCTCTGAATTCAGTTTGTCACTGTAAATACTCATTTGGCAACTGGACATCTGGCAGTTGGGAGGGTACTACATACACATTTGGGAGGGTGTGCATGCTCAGCGAAGACAGTATTGCCCCACTTATGTGAGCATTGGTTCTTGGAAGTGCAAAAAAGTCTTAGCTAGGGCACCTGGGTGGCTCAGTTGGTTAAGCAACTGCCTTCGGCTCAGGTCATGGTCCTGGAGTCCCAGGATCGAGTCCCGCATCGGGCTCCCTGCTGAGCAGGGAGTCTGCTTCTCCCTCAGACCCTCCCCCCTCTCATGTGCTCTCTCTCATTATCTCTCTCAAATAAATAAATAAATAAATCTCTAAAAAAAAAAAGTCTTAGCTCTTACAATGCTTTGTGGCTCTCCAAAGGGCCATGGTACATAAACAGATACAAAGGACAACTGCAGCATTAAATTTCATGAGGAGGGGGCCTGGTGATTAGGAAAGAAATGTCTAAAGAGGCTCTTTGGAAGGTAGGCATTGATAATAAAAAATACATTCAGAGACATTGCTCTAGCGGATAATACCTGCAAGTGTATAGGATGTATCCCAACTTTATAAGACATTACTTAGGAAAATATTAAGCAATTTTTTACATTATGGATTAAATGTGATTTTGAAATATTTGGGTTGGGGGCTTTGGTATATTGTTCATGAAAAACAGTATACTGTGTAATGGGGATCCTGAAGGTACAGTAGGATTATATGAACTTCCCTCTGCCTTTACTCTCATGACCTCACCCTTGGCCTCCCTCCATCATGCAGGCACTGAAAACGCATCTTTCACCCCTACAAAGAGATAAGTAACAGTACCACTTCACCCAATGGGAGAGGGACGTAGGAAGACTGCCACTGTGGTTTTCACTACTACTTCTGGGAGACAGGTCTGGACCCCAGAGGCTGAAGTCAGGCAAGAGGTTCTGTCTCCACTGTGACAAGGCTGTGCTTTCATCCCCTCGTGGATGCAGCAGAGGACACCGCTAGGCTTATAAAGTGACAGAAACAACTGCTTTAATTCAGCTCTAGTGTGAAGACCTACCTAGAAAATATGTGATTCCCAGGGAAATGTCATTCCTGGTGGAAATAGAATTCTGGAGGAAGCCTGGAGGATGGGCACACAACTACCCCATATTTGTAGACTGTGGATGCTTGAAAGTTTGGGGGACAGCCCTCCTCAATGCCAAGGGTCTGTTCCTGCCATTGCGAAGAACCCACACCACTGACTGTGTGTGCCAGGGGCTAGAGTGTTCATCATACATACGACTGGACAGGATTGTAAATCTATCTATTGATAAACTCTCCTTCACTATGCTTTAGGCATTTTAAGGGACTTTAAGATATTTTTAAAGTCATATGTTTACTTTATGCAGTCCAACTTGAAAACCTAGCCACCCTCCTAGGATGGGCCTGCACTGTCAAGGTATTATTCCATTTAAATTCCATTCAAAGTTCCATTCAAAACTGCCCCATGTCAGCAGGCATTTCATTTGATCATCATTTTACCAAGATTTAACCCAGTCTTGAGAGGCCCAGAACCACATAGTCTGACACCACCCTACACTGGTACATATGCACAATCCTATTTAAACTACTCACTTCCCAGGGGGCAGGGATGGTTCTGGATACCTCACATAGCGCAGCACATCCTGGCTCCAGGTCCGGGGGATGAATAGAATTGATCTGAGGACCCCCCACACAGTGGTCCTCCTTTAACCATCACACCCTCTCTGCTCAGACAGGGGGTTTGAAATACAATTAATCCCACAGCTTTTTAAGGAGAAGCAGAGTCCGAAGCATGGAGCCACCCCCACCCCACCCCCCACCCCCAGGTAATAACAAGGCCTATCTGCACAATCAAAGGCTACCAGCCTCTAAGTGACAGAGCTTTCTGTGTCAGTCCCAAAACTCAAAAATAGGCTGAACTGTGGGTAACCACATCCAAAAGAGCCACCAGCAGCCCCCCAGGAGTTTTATCAAAGTGCCAAAATACAAACCTCTTACCTTCTGGCCAGTCCAAAGTCAATGATCTTAATTTGATGTCCTGTCTGATTGACACACAGTATGTTCTCCGGCTGGGAAAGAAAGAGAGGTCTGCTTAGCTCAACCAGCAGCCAAGAAGGGGTGCAACTCCCACACTTATGTCAGTATGCCTCAGTTTCCCAGCCTCCAAGAGAATGAATGGGTCAGGACAGTCCTACAGGGATATTTAGATCACGAAAACAAAGTGGGCTGGCGTGAGACATAAGGAGTGCTATGGATTATAGGGAACCAGGGGACTTCTGCCCTGTGTAAAGCAGCTCCAGCCTCTGGTCACCATGCAGGAATGCAGGCCCCAGTTGCTCAAGAGAAGCCAGAGTACAGATTTTTATGTAAGTTCCATGCTTTTAAATATTGACAACTCAATTTTTTTTAATTTTTTATTGTTATGTTAATCACCATATATTACATCATTTGTTTTTGATGTAGTGTTCCATGATTCATTGTTTGTTCATAACACTCAGTGCTCCATGCAGAATGTGCCCGCTTTAATACCCATCACCAGGCTAACCCATCCCCCTACCCTCCTCCCCTCTAGAACCCTCAGTTTGTTTTTCAGAGTCCATCATCTCTCATGGTTCCTCTCCCCCTCTGACATACTCCCCTTCATTCTTCCTCTCCTGCTATCTTCTTCTTTTTCTTTTTTCTTAAAATATGTTGCATTATTTGTTTCAGAAGTACAGATCTGTGATTCAACAGTCTTGCACAATTCACAGCGCTCACCGTAGCACATACCCTCCCCAATGTCTATCACCCAGCCACCCCATCCCTCCCACCCCCAACCACTCCAGTAACGCTCAGTTTGTTCCTGAGATTAAGAATTCCTCATATCAGTGAGGTAATATGATACATGTCTTTCTCTGATTGACTTATTTCACTCAGCATAACACCCTCCAGAGCTACCATTCGATCCAGCAATTGCACTACTGGGTATTTACCACAAAGATACAAATGTAGGGACCCGAAGGGGTACGTGCACCCCAATGTTTATAGCAGCAATGTCCACAATAGCCAAACTGTGGAAAGAGCCAAGATGTCCATCGACAGATGAATGGATAAAGAAGATGTGGTATATTGACAACTCAAATTTAAACATAAGTCCATGTGCGGGAGTTAAACGGAATACCTCTGTGATGTAGACTTGGCCCACAAGCTGCTTATTTGAGACTATTGGCTTGCGGTCACGTTTCCAAACCCTGGCTGCTCATTAGAATGATCAGGGGAGCTCTCGAAAGTCCTAGTGTCCAGGCTCCAACACTGACCAGTTATATTACAGAATCTCTGGGGTGGGAACCAAAGCTTCAGTAGTCTGGTCAAGGAGATCAGAGCTGCTCAATATCAATCTCCCATTTTGTGGTGACAGCTGTGACCCATGGGATGGAGGTGGTGGTCTTGATATGCTTCTCCTCTCAAGTTCTTCAGATCAGCTCTGAGGCTCAGAGGGAGCCTGGAACGATGCTTGCTGCTTGTGCAAAACAAATTTGGGGGTGGGTGCACGTGGAGGGTTTATGGTAGAACAGCCCTGGAGACCTGAGGCCGGGTGCCTGAGATCTAGGAGTCTATGATCTGGGTCTGTGTCCCTAGATGAGTCCCTTCCCATTCCTGAAACCTCAGTGTTTCTATCTATAAAATGGGAATGATAACCACTTCCTGCCTTCCTCCTGGGAAGGTAAGAGGATCAAATCGCATAACATGCATGAAAACATTGTACAGGTTTCAAAGCAAATGTCAGGTACTATTTCTCCCAACAGAAGGTTTTATTGTTATTTATGTTACAATGGAGTCATGCAATTCCTAGGTTAGGAGCAGGAGAATGGTGACTTAAAGTCTCCATCTCTTCATTATAAGGTCTAGAACAACACTGTCTGATAGAACTATAATATGAACTACATATACAATTTAAAAATTTTCTAGCAGCTGATTAAAAAGGTAAAAAGAAATAAGTGAACTTAATTTTTATAACAGCATTATTGAAATATAAATAATATAAACAATAATGATGATATCATAAAAGTCATCATTTTAAAGAGTACAATTCCATGGGTTTTAGTATATTCAGAGAGTTATGTAATGATCATCACTATCTAATTTAAGAATATTTTTGTCTCTTCCAAAAAAACACAACTCATACCCATCTGAGGTCATTCTTCATTATCTCCCACCCCTAAATCTTGTAACCACTAACATATTTTCTGTCTCTTTGGATTTGCCATTTGGACATTTCATAAAATGAATTATACAAATACTGGCCTTTTGCATCTGGCTTCTTTCATTTAGCATAATGTCCTTGAGGTTCATCCATATTGTAGTATGTATCAGTACCTCCCTCATTTCTTTTCAGAGCTGAATAATATTCCATTGTATGGATATACCATATTTGTGTATCTATTCATCTGTTGGTGAATATTCAGGTTGTTTTCACTTTAGGGCTATTATGCATAATGCTGCTAAGAACATTTATGCACAAGTTTTGGTATTGACTTATGTTTTCGATATTCTTGAGTACATACCTAGAGGTAAAATTACTGGGTCATGTGGTAACTCTGCATTTAACATTTTAGGAACTGCCAAACTGTTTTCTAAAGTGGATGCACAAATTTACAATCTCATCAGCAAAATATGAGAGTTCCAATTTCTCAACATAACCAATGCTTCTTGTTGTCTGTCATTTTTATTTTTTATTTTAGCTTAGTCTAATGGGTGTGAAACAGTATTTCACTGTAGTTTTGATTTGTACTTCTCTAATGACTAATGATGTTGTAAATCTTTTCATGTGCTTATCGTCCATTTGTATATCTTTATTGGATAAATGTCTATTGAAATCCTTTGCCCATTCTAAAATTTGTCTTTCAATTATTGAATTGTAAGATTTATTTACATATTATAGATACAAGTCTTTTATCAGATATATTGTTTGGAAATATTTCTCCCATTCTGTGGGCTGTCATTTCACTTTCATGATGATATCCTTTGAAGCATAAAGGTTTTTAATTTTTGGTGATTAACATAACAATAAAAAAAATTAAAAAAAAAAAGGTTTTTAATTTTGATAAAGTCTAATTTATCTATTTTTCTTTCCTAGCTTTTGCTTTTGAGTCATTTCTAAGAAATCATTGCCTAATAATCCAAGGTCACAAAGATTTAGTCCTATGTTTTCTTCTAAGAATTTTATAATCTTAGGTCTTACATTTAAGTCACAATCCATTTTTTGTGTATAGTATGAGTGTATTCTTTTGCATGTGGTTATCAAGCATGGTGTCCATTGAAAAGAGTATCCTTTCCTCGTTGATTTGTCATGGCACAGTTATCAAAAAATCAAGTGACCACAAATATAAGGGTTTGGTTTTGGATTCTCAATTGTATGCCATTGAGCTATCTATTCATCCTCATACACATAATTCATTGTTTTGATTTCTGTAGCTTAGCTGTAAATTTTGAAATTGGGAAATGTGCATCCTTCAACTTTGCTCTTCTTTTTCGAGATTGTTTTTGCTATTCTGCATCTCTTAAATTTCCATCTGGATTTAAGGATGAGTGCATTAATTTCTGCAAAGAAGCCAGCTGCAATTTTGATAGAGATTGTGTTCAATCTGTAGATCAGTTAGTGCCATCTTAACAAAATTAAGTCTTCCAATCTATGACCATGGGATGTTTTTACATTTATAGGTCTTCTTTAAATTCTTCTAATAATTTCCTGCGGTTTTTAAGAACATATGTCTTGCACTTCATCTGTTAAATTTATTCCAACGTATTTTATTGTTTTTGATATTTCAGTAGTCCCCCCTTCTTCATGGAGGATACATTCCAAGACCCCCAGTGGACGCTCGAAACAACAGATAGTACCGAACCTTATATATGCTATGTTTCTTCCTATTTATACATACCTATGATAAACTTATAGATAACCTATAAATTAGGCACAGTAAAAGATTAACAACAACGAATAACAAAACAATTATGAAAATATACTATAATAAAAATTACGTGAATGTGGTCTCTCTCTCTTTCTCAAAATATTTTTTTCTACTATACTCACCCTTCTACTTGTGATGACATGAGATGACAAAATGACTATGTGATGAGAAATGAGGTGAATGACATAGGCATTATGATGTAGTGTTCATCTACTATTGACCTTCTAACCATATATCAGAAGGACGATCATCTGTTTCTGGACTGTGATCAACCACAGGTGACCAAAACCATGGAAAATGAAACCAGTGATAAGGGGAGGACTACTATATTGTGTATAGAATATTTTTCTTAATTTTATTTACCGATTGTTGATTGCTAGTTATAGAAATACAATTGATACTTATACATTTGTCTTATATCCTTTAACCTTGCTGAACTCATTTATTTATTCTAATAGTTTCCCTCTACCCTCCTTAGGATTTTGTATATGCAAGATCATGTCATCTGAGAATAGAGACAGTTTTACTTCTGCCTTTCCAAACTGTATGCCTTTTATTTCTTTTCTCATCTAACTGTCCTGGTTAGAACCTCAAACACAATGTTTAATAGTAGTGGCAAGAACAGACATCCTTGTTTTGTCCCTGATCTTAAGGGGAGAGCATTCAACCTTTTACTATTAAGTATAATGTTAGCTGTGGGTTTTCCATAGATGGCTTTTATCAGGTTGAAGAAGTTCCCTCATATACCTACTTTATCTAGTGTTTTCATCATGAAAAGTTGTCTGAAATTTTCAAATCTTTTTCTGCATCTATTGAAATGATTCTATTGATATGGCATATTAGATTAATGATTTTCATATGTTAAGCCAACCTTGCATTCTTAGGATAAATCCCACTTTGTCATGTGTATAATCCTTTTTATATGTTGTTGTATTCAGTTTGCTAATATTTTATTGATGATTTTTGTATCTATATTCATAAGGGATATTGGTCTATAGTTTTCTTTTCTTGTGATGTTTTTGTCTGCTTTGGGTATCAAAATGAGACTGGCTTCAGGGTGCCTGGCTGGCTCAGTAGGTACAGCGTGTGACTCTTGATCTCAGGGTTTCTAGTTCAAGCCCCACATTGAGTGTAGAGATTACTTGAAAATACTTTTAAAAAAAAGATAAGACTGGCCTCATAAAATGAGTTAGGAAGTGTCCCCTTATCTTTTATATTTTGGAAGAGTTTGTGAAGAATTGGTGTTAATTCTTCTTCCAATTAAATCTTCTTTAAATTGGTAGAATTCACCAGTGAAGCCACATGAGCCTCAGCTCTTCTTTGTGGGTAGTTTTTGATACTAATTCCATCTCTCGTTACAGGTCGATTCAGATTTTCTATTTCTTCTTGAGTCAGTTTTCAGTGGTTGTGTCTTCCTGAGAATTTGTTCATTTTATCTAAATTATCTAACTTGTTGGCATATAATCTTTCATATTATTCCTTTATAATCCTTTTTTCTTTCTGTAAGGCTAGTAGTGATGTCCTCTCTTTCAGTCCTGATTTTAGTAATTTGAGTATTTTCTCTTTTTGTCTTGGCCAATATAGCTAGCTACAGATTCAACAATTTACTGATCTTTCCAAAGACCCAACCTTTGGTTTCATTGATTTTCTCTATTGTTTATCGATTCTCTGTTTCATTTATTTCTGCTCTACTCTTTATTATTTCCTTTCTCAACAAACTGAGGGTTTAGAGGGTAGGGGGGTGGGGGGATGGGTTAGCCTGGTGATGGGTATTGAGGAGGGCACGTTCTGCATGGAGCACTGGGTGTTATGAACAAACAATGAATCATGGAACACTGCATCAAAAACTAATGATGTAATATATGGTGATTAACATAACAATAAAAAAATTAAAAAAAAAAATAAAACATATTATTTCCTTTCTCCTGCTGCTTTGAGTTTAACTTACTCTTCTTTGTTTCATTTCTTAAGGTGGGATCTTAGATTATTGATTCAAGATATTTCTTCTTATTTAATACTGGTGTTTGCAGCTACAAATTTCCTCCTGCTTTAGATGCATCCCATAAGGTCTAGTATGTTGTGTTTTCATTTTCATTCATCTTAAAATATTTTCTAAAACTTAACTCCAATAATATATTTTCTTTAACCCAGTATGCCTAATATTTTATCATTTCAATGGATTATCAATATGGAAAATATTGATATTTTCCATTCTTTTCTCATATTAAGACTTAGAAATCTAGTGTGTATTTTATATTTACAGCACATCTCAATTCAGATACTAAATTTTCATCAGAAATATTTTAGATGTACTAAGATTTCATGAAATTTATAGTTGAAAAATAAATTCACATACCAAAGTCATTCCAAATATACTTAAAAGTATACTAATAACTAAATAGAGTGTCAGCTTTTAAATTTAAATAAATTAAAATTAATAAGATTTAAAATTCAGTTCTTCAGTCACACTAGCCACATTTCAAGTGTTTAATAGACATATGTGGGTTTGTGGTTATTGTATTAGATAGCAGCCCTGGGGCTCTTTCTCCATGTGCTTTTGTTTTGTTTTTTGTTTTTTTTTTTAACATCTAGGGGCACATGGGTGGCTCAGGCAGTTAAGCGTCTGCCTTCAACTCAGGTCATGATCCCAGGGCCCTGGGACCAAGCCCTGCATCAGGCTCCCTGCTCAGCAGGGAGTCTGCTTCTCCCTCTCCCTCTGCCTACCACTCTGCCTACTTGTGCTCTCTCTCTGTCAAATAAATAAATAAATCTTTTTAAAAAATAAACATCTGAAGGATTTTTTTTAAAGATTTTATTTATTTATTTGTCAGAGAGAGAGAGCAAGAGTGAGAGAGAGCACAAGCAGGGGGAGCGGTAGGCAGAGGGAGAAGCAGGCTCCTCGCTGAGGAAGGAGCCTGATGCAGGACTTTATCCCAGGACCTGAGCTGAAGGCAGACACTTGGCCAACTGAGCCACCCAGGTGTCCCACTTTCTTCATGTTTTAATCCATACAACACCCCTAAGAGGTAGATACTATTATTCCCCATTTTACAATTGATGAGCTTATGCAAGATCAACCAATAAGATCAAGGAACTTACACAAGATCTCAAGGCCAGGAAGGGACTGAACCAACACAAGCCCTGTTCCTGGCTGGGAAATGGGCCTTAGCAATGATCATCTCCTGCTGCAGAGACACAGGGTTGCCCCAAAAGTTTTTTGACCCAGAACCACAGAGCAGAAGGCTGAGCTTCCCTTAACGGCCAACCTCACAGAGCAGCTCATCCAGAAGCTCTGGAATTAGCTCTAGTGATCTAGGAAGCCTGAGGCCAATTTCTCACCATCTCCATCATTTTTCTCAGTACTCCAACCTTAGAGTCTGATGTCAATCAGAAAAGATGGTCAGAAGAAGCAATGTACACCCACAAAGATCTGGCCAACCTACCTCCCACCTTCTGTGGGGAGCCACTGAAATTCCTAAAAGGAGTTGTAGAGAACCACCCTCCTTTTGGCCCAGCAGAGTGGGAAACCACAGAAACAGCCACCATGTATCAAGTGCTTACTACCAACCAGGCACTGCACCCAGTGCACGACACTCCTACCACAATCCTAGTAGACAAAAGAGAGTGTAACACATTCATTCAATGGAATATCACATGGCCCTTAAAGAGAATTAGAAAAGATGTCTACAGTGTACTGTTAACTAAAAAAGTAAGTTTAAAAACAGGGTGTATAGCATGATCACCTTTGTGTGTGTTTGTGTATCATGCCAAACTGCTAAGAGAGGACCTCTTAGCGTGGAGACTGGATGGGAAGAAATTTCACTGTGTATTTTACACATTTCTATATTGTCTATATTTGTTATGTTTCTATTTTAATTTTTTAAACTAATCTTAATTTTTTTAAGTTGTTATTTAATTTCCAGGTGTTAGCAAACAGTATAATATTAGTTTCAGGTATACAATTTAGTGATTCAACACTTAAACATACAACACCCAGTGCTCATTACAAGTGTACTCCTAAATACCCATCACCTATTTACTCCATCCTCCTACCCCACCTCCCCTCTGGCAACCATCAGTTCGTTCTCCATAATTAAAAGTCTATTTCTTGGTTTGTCTCTCTCTAAAGATATTTTTAAAGAAAAGAAGGTCATTGTATCATTTAATCTTCAAATAACACTGAACCAATTACCCACATTTTACAGATGAGAGAACTGAGGTTCAGAGAGCCAGCATGACTCATTTACTCCAAAACTAGGAGATGGCAGAGAGCCAGGAACGGAAGCCAGGACCGTCTGTTGATAGAGCTCGTTAAGGTAAGAGAGCAGCAGAAGCTCAGGAACCCTGGGGCCCCTCCCCCCACCACATGCCCAGGTGGAGCCTGACCTTGAGGTCCAGGTGCAGGATGTAGTGTTGATGGAGGTAATGCACACCCTCGCAGATCTGCTTGGTGAACAAGATCACATCCAGTTCGGTCAGCTGGTACTTCTCCTCTGTGATCCGGTCAAAGAGTTCACCCCCATCCACACTGCCAGAGCAAAGGGAGAGGCAAACATTGGCCTAAGTGAGGCTCTCAGAGGACTTGTCCACTCTTATCACCAAGAGTCAAAAAAGGCTGACCCAGGTAAGCCTAAGGGTGCCACTGACATCTGGGGTTTTATGGAGATCTTTGTTCTGGTCTGTTCCCAGCTCAGAGTGCAGGTGGTAAAAAGGAACTGATCGGCCAAAAGGAAGACTGGGGATTGTCTTCAGTGTTGATAATCCAGGCTCATTCTGGATACCCTGGGTCAAAGTTATAAACTCATTTGCCTACAGGGGCCAATTAGTACTTACATGGCAAGAACCCAAAATGGGCAAAAAAGACCAGATGTGAGACAAAAGTTTTCATAAAATACAGCCCTTAGTCTATCTTTGTTTTTTCACTCTTGGTAGAGACATGACATGACAAACCCTACCAGAAGGAAAATAGCAACACAAGCAAGAAATAAACGGCCTCTGAGTCCCTGGCCTCAGCTTCAGGGTAGTTGGGAATGGTGAGGACTATGGCAAATGGGAGACTGGTTGCCCTGTCTACAAAGGTCAGCCAGTAGGAGCTCCAGCACACCATTTCCAGCTAGAAATGCAGGTCCAGCTAGATCTTTCGCATTTTTAAGAAAAGCAAGATAGCTGGGTTTCAATATGAAATTTCCCAATTTTCAACTGTTAACACCTAAATCAAAATTATTAAAAATTGTGTAGGCCAAGCTGACATATATCTACAGGTCAGTCAGGTTTACTGCTGGTTTATGACAAATGGCTTTGTCCTCCATGCTCCATATTGGAGGTGATGACATTCCCTAGATATCCCAGAGAGGGGAAGGGAAAGGGAGAGTTTTGCATAGAGCTACAGCTCCAAGCCCCAGTCCTGAGTCCTGGCCCACAGAGAAGTCACTGCTCCACCTCCCAAGACACTCACTATTCCATGATGAGGGTAAAGCTGTTCTTGCTCTCAAAGGCGTCATAGAGCTGGATCAGGTTCACATGGCTGAGCTGGTTCATGATGTTGACCTCGTTTTTCACATCCTCCTTGCGGAGTCAGACGGGAGAGGAGTTTCCAAGAAATGGGTCAGGAAGATGAGCCAGCTGCGCCTCCCAAGACACATGCATGCCCACATCCTCCTTTCCTGCTCTCACATCAGGCCTCCAACTCACCACCACCCAAACCAGGTTCTTACAACAAAAGGGACCTTAGTTCAAACCCCCCATTCCACAGATAGGAAACCCGAGGCCCAAGAAGGAAACCTGGAGGTCCAGAGGGACCCTGCTGCCCAGGGTGTGAGGTGATATGCTGAGCAGAGTGTGGGACTCATGGAAAAGAGGCAGGGAAGGTGGCAGGGTTCCTGATCAGCATGCAGGGGCCTGGGGGCCAAGAAGGAAGTATAGGAGCCTTGAACGTGGCCCAAGGTACTGGTTGGCCCAGGGCAGATGCCTCACCCGGTCCTTGGCACTCTTCACTTTGATGATCTTGGCTGCCAGCGAGAGGCCTGTGGACTTCTCCGTGCACCTGTGGACCTGGCCAAACCGGCCTCTGCAGAGACATGATGGTATGGCAGGCTGAGAGCCCAAGAGGCTCATTCCATACATGGTGGACCATCCTGTACCCCGGGCTTTCTGATCCTGCCCTTTGTTCATAAACACCATGGGGATTACCCTGCACCCTGGAGGTACTATAGTCATCACCCCCACACCACATGGGTTATCCTGAAACCTAGAGAAGACCTTCTTCATCCTATCACAAGTGGTCTATGCTATACCCCAGGGGCCTACCCTCACGCCACACCACCCGGACTGCCCTACCACCTCCAGTATATGGTTCCCATGCCCATACTGTATGGGCCTCCTGCACCCTATACTTCATCCCATACCATGTGGGCTCTCCTGCACTCACCCACTCTCTGTGGACTATCCAGTCACTAGCATGCTGTGTGCTGTATCCCACTCCAGGCCTTGGCTCCTGATCAACCCCCTCCTGAGAAGTATCCAGGAGCACGCCAGCTCAGGTCTCCAGGTGTTTCTGGCCCACCCCTCCTGCTCTTGCCCCTCATCAAGGCAGAAGCCCACCTACCCTCCCAAGACGTCATGCTGGCACACTGTGTAACCTGCTGAGGTCGAGGTCTCCTTGACACTCACCACCCGGTGTTCGAAAGGGGCTGGTGGGGCTGGGCTGTCATCTGTTTGGGAGACAATAGTCTGTGAGCCTCCTAAGTGCAGCCCGTACCTCTCAGCCACCCGCTTGGGTCAAGAGACAAGCCCCTCGCCCTTCTCAAGGATCACCTCATTGGGGTTACCCATATGGCAGAGGAGTAAGTTGAATTTCAGAGAGGTGTGGTGACTGGCCCAATGGCACACAGTGAGTCAGTGACAGATGGGATTCAAACCCAAGTCTCCTATCACCTACAGTGGTATGCTTTGCAAGATGGAGAAGTTCTACCCAGTCTGTTCACTGAAGTTGAGAGGGGACCTGGGGTGGATCAGTGCAGACAGCAGGAAATGGAAGGCACCCTTGAATGGGGTAATCAAGCAGAATTTAATGATGGACTATGTTTGAAGGTACAGGCAGGGCTGCAGACACCAGCCAGGGCAGTGGGACAGGGAGGCAGCTGGAGAAACAAACACCCTCCCTCCCTCCACTTGCACCCTCCGATCTCCTCACAGAGCAAACAGCCTGCGAGGTAGCCCACAGCGGGTCAGCTTCTGGGGGTGCGCCAGCAGTGGACAGTGGGCTTGGAGGGGAAACAGAGCACACCAGCCCTTGGAAAGATAAAAATGGCCTAAGTTTTCGGGGAAAATCTTGCCCTTCAGCGGTTGTGTGAACCTAGAAATGTTGCATGAAATAAAGGAACAAAACAGAATACCAAACACAATGACTTAAGCTGGTTTGCGTATTAAGGGCTGGGAGACTCTGTGGCGGGAAGTCAGTGGCTGGGTTGGGTTTTTTTTTGTTTTTTTTTAAGATTTTATTTATTTGACAGAGAGAGACACAGCGAGAGAGGGAACACAAGCAGGGGGAGTGGGAGAGGGAGAAGCAGGCTTCCCGCTGAGCAGGGAGCCCGATGCGGGGCTCGATCCCAGGACCCCAGGATCATGACCTGTGCTGAAGGCAGACGCTTAACGACTGAGCCACCCAGGCGACCCTGGGTTGGGTTTTTCTGGGCTTGTCACGGTTCACTCAGAGTTCCACCAACAACTCTCATGCCTCTGAAACCATATACCTGGTGCCATGAAAACACGGCTATTTGCTCTTAGTTCATCTTAATAAGAGCAGTTTTTTGCTCCCCGAAGTAGACGTTTGCCTTGAGAGAATATTGCTCATTCCTTTGTGTATCTGCAAAGGCAAGCCCTGAGCCCTGGACCACAAAGCTAACAAGTATGGTTCCTGCTGCTGCTGTTCTTCTGGGACCCGGAAAGGTCTGAGTGTGTGTCACAGCGATTCCAAATCTAGCATCTGGCTTGACGTTTCCTTTGCTGCACACTACGTGCCTTCTGCTCCCGGTGGCTGTACAGCGACCAGGCTTGCACACGCCATTCCTGAGCTAGGCAGCCAGGGGCAGATCCTGGCTGCATCCGCACTGTCTCCACGGCCCTGAGCGTGGCCCTTGACCTCTCCTGTGTTTCCATGTATTCCCCACTCCACAAGCCCGTGAGGGTATACGCCGGCATGGAGGCACCCAGCTCCGCACACAGACAGCCCACAGTCTACGTGGCCTTTGTCACCACCGCGAGCCTCAAAAAGGACTCCGGAGTCTCCTCCTGGTTTCAGCAGCGTTTTAGGAATGAAAGGAGGCCTTTGGCCACATAGGGACCAAGTCGTACAGGTGGAGGGGAAGCAGCTGGAGATGTCACTAAGACAGGGCAACTGCAGAGCCCAGAAGTGGCAAGGGGCCCCGGGGTGACTGCAGAACACACAGCCCTTCCTCAGGGACTTCCCGGAATTCCAGGGCAGGAAATCAGCAAAGGTGGCCTTCCTGCCACCACATGGGATGAGGGCTCAGACCAAGGAGGGTGTGACTATAAGGGCTGGCAGAGTTGAGGGTGCTTGGGTCACAAGAACACAAGGATGCCCCCACCATCACTGGGGCAGAGAGCAGGTCAGCAGCCCCCCACACACACCCTTCTGTACCCTGGGATGAGATCTCACTCACTGGGTGCAGTGGCCAATATTAACACCACTTAATAGATGTTCTTTTTAGCAGGAGCCTTCTCTGGCTCGATCCAGAATGACACCCATGGTGGAGAGCTCAGGCTTTGAGAAATCCACCCAGTTGGGCCGCATGGGCTCCTTCCTCCCCTACTGCCACAGTCACCCCCAAACTCAGCCTGCTGCAGCTGTAGGCCTTGCTCTCCAGCCCCAGCAGGTACTGGCAGGCCGTTCCAAGTCGCGGACTCCCCCCAGACCCACACTATCTCTCCCTGGAAGCTGCAGGAAGACCCCCTGGGAGTAGGCCACCAAACCCGCTCACTCTGGGGCACCCCGCAATGGGTTCACTTACCCAGAACCATGCTGCCAGCCTCATCTCCAGGGGGCGTCCTCCTTCCTGCTCCAGCTCTGCCTGCACCCCCAGCTGTGCTGTCCTCCCCGGGCTCAGCGTTTCCTGCACACTTGCCTTTGTCCTGCCGCCAGCCCGGGCCTCCAGCATCGGCTCCTTTGTCCCTCCTGGCCCCGCTTGGTCCCATGGCCGACTCGGCCCCAGGCCCCTGCTTTTCCTCTGCTTTTGCTCCCTCACGGCTGCTCCGTTTCCACAGTGGGGAAATCTTGCTGGCTCCTTTCAGGATCTGTTTTTCTGACTTGGTTGCAGGGGTCTGGGGTGCGGGCCCAGGTGGGTCCTGCTCACCGGGATGGGCAGCTGCCGGAGCCTCCACAAGGGGCATGGGTCTGAGGCCGCCCCCTCGTGTCACAAGCAGCTCCCCAGGGGTATCTGTCTCCTGCACATGGATGGAGATCCTGGGGCAGAGAGAAAACACGGCCTTAAAAGCAAGGACTCACGAGTCACCACAGACCTGGGTTCAAATGCCTGCTGCCACCATTCAAGGATCACAGCCTATTGGCCTCAGTTTCTCATCCAGAAAAAGGGACCTCGTGGTTATTATAATAGTAAGGTAGATTGTGTTTAGAACCAGCAGACCCCAACCCCTGACTACCTCTGCCCAGACAGGACACCAGGGAGAGGATGGGTTCAGTGAGATGGTACCATCTGCTCTCAGGATTCCAGTGGATGAGCGGCCAAGGAAGGCTGAAGTACTTGAGATGGACACCGGTGGGCATCAGATGCCCCAAAGGCCTTAGAAACCTGCTTCTGCCCCAGGAGGCAGGAGACCTGGGCTCTCCTCTCTAGGCCTCAGTCTCCCTTTCAGTTAAATGAAGAAAGGGTGAGCCAAGTCAAATATCCCACTGGAAACCCCAGGTCAGACATATTTTATTGAAATCAGACAACTGCAGGGCACCTGGATGACTTAGTCGGTTAAACATCCAACACTTTTTTTTATTGTTATGTTAATCACCATACATTACATCATTAGTTTTTGATGTAGTGTTCCATGATTCATTGTTTGTGCATAACACCCAGTACTCCACGCAGAATGTGCCCTCTTTAATACCCATCACCAGGCTAACCCATCCCCCCACCACCCTCCCCTCTAGAACCCTCAGTTTGTTTTTCAGAGTCCATCATCTCTCATGGTTCCTCTCCCCCTCCAACTTACTCCCCTTCATTTTTCCCCTCCTGCTATCTTCTTCTTCTTTTTCTTTTTTCTTAACATATGTTGCATTATTTGTTTCAGAAGTACAGATCTGTGATTCAACAGTCTTGCACAATTCACAGCGCTCACCATAGCACATACCCTACCCAATGTCTATCACCCAGCCACCCCATCCCTCCCAGCCCCCACCACTCCAGCAACACTCAGTTTGTTTCCTGAGATTAAGAATTCCTCATATCAGTGAGGTAATATGATACATGTCTTTCTCTGATTGACTTATTTCACTCAGCATAACCCCCTCCAGGTCCATCCACGTCATTGCAAATGACAATTCTTTTTGATGGCTGCATAATATTCCATTGTGTATATATACCACATCTCTTTATCCATTCATCTGTCGATGGACATCTTGGCTCTTTCCACAGTTTGGCTATTGTGGACACTGCTGCTATAAACATTGGGGTGCATGTACCCCTTCGGATCCCTACATTTGTATCTTTGGGGTAAATACCCGGTAGTGCAATTGCTGGATTGTATGGTAGCTCTATTTTCAACTGTTTGAGGAACCTCCATACTGTTTTCCAGAGTGGCTGCACCAGCTTGCATTCCCACCAACAGTGTAGGAGGGTTCCCCTTTCTCCGCATCCCTGCCAACATCTGTCGTGTCCTGACTTGTTAATTTTAACCATTCTGACTGGTGTGAGGTGGTATCTCATTGAGGTTTTGATTTGGATTTCCCTGATGCCGAGCGATGTTGAGCACTTTTTCATGTGTCTGTTGGCCATTTGGATGTCTTCTTTGGAAAAATGTCTGTTCATGTCTTCTGCCCATTTCTTGATTGGATTATTTGTTCTTTGGATGTTGAGTTTGATAAGTTCTTTATAGATTTTGGATACTAGTCCTTTATCTGATATGTCATTTGCAATATCTTCTCCCATTCTGTCGGTTGTCTTTTGGTTTTGTGGACTGTTTCTTTTGCTGTGCAAAAGCTTTTTATCTTGATGAAATCCCAATAGTTCATTTTTGCCCTTGCTTCCCTTGCCTTTGGCGATGTTTCTAGGAAGATGTTGCTGCAGCTGAGGTCGAAGAGGTTGCTACCTATGTTCTCCTTCAGGATTTTGATGGACTTCTGTCTCACGTTTAGGTCTTTCAACCATTTGGAGTCTATTTTTGTGTTAAACATCCAACTCTTGCTTTTAGCTCAGGTCATGATCTCAGGGTTGTGGGATCGAGGTCCGTATGAGGCTCCCTCGCTCAGTGGGGATTCTGTTTGAAATACTCGCCCTCTGCCCCTGCCCCCACTCTCTCTCTCCCTCCCAGATAAATAAAATATTTTTTTAAAAAAATCAGGCAACTGCTCATAGAGACTGGACTCCTCGTTTCTCTTGGACATATATGTCTGGCTGTGCTGGGCATGTCTGCATAGCTGAGAAGCAGCTCCCCTTCCTGACAGACCTGGCAATGCCACTGGGCCCACTTCGCATCCATCTCCATTACCCAGACCTTGCGACCTTAGGTTTGGGACCCCAGCTAGAGGTCAGGAAGGCCCTCTGAGCCCTGGCAATGTACAGAGGGAAGGACCTGACCCTGGGAGCCATGATCCCCAAGGGTTCCCTCCCTCTCAGAGTTGCCCTGCTCTGACTGTTCTTCACAACCCCACTGCTGGGGGTCTATGTGTGTTGGGGTGCGGTGAGGAGGTGAGTGTCTGGCATGGACTGAGTCTCAGGAGGGAGCGCAGCAGCCTCCTCTCTGGTCTTAGCTCTGGACCACATTGCTAGACAACTTTGGACAAGGCCGGCATCAGCTCCCTCTTCTGTCAAACAGAGACATTGATACCTCACAGAAGTGCTGAGAGTCCACGGAGTGGGGAAAGCCCCAGGGGTCCCAAAATGAGGCTCAAGAGGGTGCAGCTGCTGTGGAAAACAGGATGGTGGTTCCTCAAAAATTTAAAAATAGGACTACCTTATGACCTAGCAATTTCACTTCTTAAAATGTATCCAAGGGCGCCTGGGTGGCTCAGTTGGTTGGGCGACTGCCTTCGGCTCAGGTCATGATCCCAGAGTGCCGGGATCGAGTCCCGCATCGGGCTCCCTGCTCAGCGGGGAGTCTGCTTCTCCCTCTGACTCTCCCCCTTCTCATGCTCTCTCTCTCTCTCTCTCTCTCTCAAATAAATAAATAAATAAAATCTTTAAAAAAAATGTATCCAAAAGAATTTAAAACAGTGTGTCAAAGAGATATTTGTATACCTGTGTTCATAGCAGCATTATTCACAACAACCAAATGTGGAAGCACCCCAAGTGTCCATCGAGGATGAATGGATAAGCAAAATGTATGATATCCATACAATGGAATATTGTTTGGTCTTAAAGAGGAAGGAAATCCTGTTACATGCTGCTACCTGGGTGAACCTCGAGGACGTTATGCTAAGTGAAATAAGCCAGTCACAAAAAAACTGATTCCACATATGTAATTCCACTTATATTCAGTACCTACAGTTGTCAAATTCAGAGACAGAAAGTGCAATGTGGTGGCCAGGATCTGGGGGGTGGGCAAAATGGGAGTTGTTTGATGGTTACAGAGTTTCAGATTTGCAAGATGGAAATGTTCTGGAGATCTGTGTCACAACAACCTGAATACACTCAACACTCCCGCACTGTACACTTACAAATGGTTCAGTTGGTAAATGTTATGTTACCTGTTTTTTCACCATAATGAAAAAAAGTGAGGCTTTTCCCCAGCAGTTGAAGGCCCAGCCCCCTCCCCGAGCTTCAGCGGGTCCTCTGAAAGCTGCGCCCGTTCCTGGATACACCTGGCTCAGTACAAGCCTGTACACAGCCAGCCTCGGCAGGGAGGCAGCCAAAGACCCCCCAGCTCCGTGCCCCTCGGAGGAGTGAGTGTGGGTTGGGGATAACAGGGGAGGTGCGAAGGGTGGCATCCGAGCCTGGCCCGGGCCTTGTCTCCACTGAAGGCCACGGGAACTGCAGGAAGCCCGTTGCTGGAAGAGCATCCAGGTGGTCAGGTGGCCAGCTGATAAAGACAAGAGTCACTGCTGTCCCACTTGGTCTTCACAGAGAGCAGGGCATGGGATGACCCCAACGCACTGCCGTGCATTCGCGTGGCGCTGAGGGCCCAACGTTTTCCCTCCTGCTGCACAGCACACCCGGGGCAGGCTAATCAATTACAGCCCTGTGTTCCTCCAACTCCAGCTAGGGCCTCAGCATCCTCTATACGGGCAGCCACTGCCCGTCAGAGCCAGTGCTTGAGTGTAAACTTATTTTCTCAAAATATACTCAGGTGCTAGCTGGGGAAGGGCAGGGAGTGACCTCTCCACTTCCTGAGCCCCATGGCAGGTCTAGTGCACCTGAAATTCAGTTCAGGGCTGAAATGGACGTAGAGACGTTTCCCCTCATGCAGAATCTTTTGGGGGCCCCTAGCAAGTTCATGGAAAGTCCACCCCTATTCCTAGATTCCATATTTACAGCACTGGCCAGGATCCAGGGAAGCCTGCCAGGAATCCCTCCTTTTAGCTGGTTAAGATCTCCCAGAGGCTCTCATTTCCTTCCAGAACAAAGGCAGACCAACAATCTGGGCTTCTCTGCCGGTCACCATAGCACACAGACACCAGCTCCCTTCCCTGCACCAGGCCTAGGGAAGGGATGGGGCTCTGTTACAGGAAAGGACAACCTGGGGCAGGTGCAGGAGGGCACCAGACCCCCTTGAGACAGGGAAGCACAACACACTTCAGTGGACTGCCCTGAGGGCCGGGATGCACTGTTCCACAGGGCTGGGAACACAGGGCTAGGGAGAGCGTGGCAGCCAGCAGCTTCTGGCTCTGCATTATCCTGCACTGTGTGTGCTGAGGGCCGAGGGCTGGTCCTGAGGTGGTGTTCTGAGGCCACAACGCCACCTTCGGGACCTCAAGTATAATCATCCTGAAGGCCCCGCTGGATGGACTCAGCCCATGCCCACCTCCCTCTGAATCCCCATCCTTCTCTCCCCAGCTTAATATTTGGGACCTAATTAAATGCTGACCTGAGGAGGCAGGATTGTGCAGTGGTTAGGAGCAGATTCTGGAGCCCAACAACCTGGATTCAGATTTCAACTTTGTGAATCCCTGGCTGTGTGGCCCTGGGCACTCTCAGCCTGTTTCCTCATCTCCACACTCTCGCCTCCTGGGGACATTGTGAGGACACAGCGGGATGACATCTGTGAAAGGCGTGGCCAATGCCAGCAACTAGGATTGTGCTGTGAGCCCCAGCTTGTAACTATTATAGCGGCTCTAAGAACCCTGCCCCACACGGGAATCACCCAAGGAGCTTGCAAAAAACAGAAAGAGAGAGAGAGTGAGGGAAGGAAGGCAGGGAGGGAGGGAAGAAGGATACCTGAGCCTCACTCCAGACTGAATAAATCAGACTCTCTGGGCATTGGTATTTTAAAAATTCCTTTCAGGTAATTCTAATGGGCACCAGGTGAGAAACAGTGCTCTACATTCCCAAAAGCAGTGCCTACGCCTTCTCCTGTCTTCCCCTCATGAAGCTAGCCAGCACGGTGCAGACAGCTCCAGCTGAGGGGCTACTGTTAATTCCTTCCCTTGCCCAGCATGGAGGAGCTCCCCTTACCTTGGAGGTGTTTCTCCACCACTGTGAGCTACCTTGGCTTGGACTGGCAGCCCTGGAGTCAGCCTCATGCCTGCCTCTGAGGGCCGCGGGTCAGGCCTGCTGAATGATGATCCTTGTTCTGTACCAGGTAAATCCTCCTGGCTGGTGGGGGCCTCACGGACCCCGGTGGATGCTGCAGACAACTCCTGGCCAGTCCCAGGCTTCTCAACGAATGCTCCAGGAGCTTTGGCTTCCACCTCTGTGGGCAGCAGCGGGAGACCAGGGGGCACTTGGGCTGGGCCAGGAACTCCTTCTTCCTGCCCTGGCGGGGCCTCTGCCTGGGTGGGGAGGTCAGATCCTATCTCTGAAGCATTGACGGGGGTCAGCCTCTCCACCGTCCCCTCTGGGAGGCTCGCCTGCTGGCTCTCTACAGGAAAACAGGCAGCATAAAAATGCATTCCTATATGGAGGACTCTATCCTAAAGATATTGCAAAGGAGCTGCAAAGGCCACTCAGCGCAGCATGTTTATAATAGGCAGACTGGAAACAACCCAAGTGACCCAACAGTAGGAGGCTGCTTGACTAAACCATGGCCCGTCACCCAGGAGCACTGCACAGCCATAAAAAATAGAGAGACGCGAATATCTCCAGATGTGGCTCTGGAGTGATCTCAGGATATACCGAGTGAATAGTGAGATAAGAGCCAGGTGGAGAAAAGTGTGTCTGGTGTGCTTCTGTTTGTCTAGGAAGAGAAGTGTGTGTGGGTGTGGGTGGGTGGGTGTGTGTGCACGCGCGTGCATGCATGCACATGCATGCACGCACATGTGGGTGCATGTGTATAACCACTTAGAACATGGCTTAAAGACACAGAAAGAAAAGATAAGACAAAAAATTTTGTAAATGGTTCCATACGCAAGGGAGGAACAAGGATAGAAGCTACACTTAAAATCCCTTGTTTTGTCAATTTGACTTTAGAACCATGTCAATATTACACAAAACTGTAAAAGAAAATGAGACTTGAATAAAAGCAATCCATAAAGATGTAAAGCAAAGTGAAATAGATGTGAGATTCAAGTTGGTGGCATAGCTTACACAGAAAGGAGCTAGTCCAAGTGCCTTTGGAACAGCAATACATAGTGGGATATATGTAAAGGATTAAAAAAAATGAAAAAAAAAAAGAAGCTTCAACGGTTTTTTAGCGATCACATTGTTGGTGGTGGCATTGGTATTTTTCTTCTGAAACTGTTATGTGTGCAATGTGGAATACAGCAAATGAGGTCCCACTCACCTTCCCAAGGCCCCCTGATCTCGGCTTGCACAGCTCTGGTGCTCAGTGCATGCTTTGGTTTTGCTCCTTTCTCTTCCACTCTATCTTTGTTCTGAAAGAACAATCATCATCATCATCATCATCATCATCATCATCATCATCATATCATGATCAACATACAAACATTTGTTGAACACCTATCCTGTGCTTAACGTAGAAGTATTTAGGTTATTTCACCTGGTCTCACAGTAACACTAGAGGGTAGATATTGCTACTGTCATTTTAGAGATAAAGACACTTATCCAAAGTCACCAAGTTCTTTCTAATGTGTCATCATATTGCCAGTAAGGGGCAGACCTGACACGGGCTTCTAAATAGACTGTACTTCAAAGTACTTAAACCAGGGATGGAAAATAAATTTTAAAGTGTGAATTCAGATCAGTCTGTCATGGCTATTACAGTGTTGGCTCGGCTTGGATTCTAAAGTCCGATTAACCCATGCCTGTCTGGGGGGCAAGGGGCAGGGAGGAGGGCTGGAATTAACAGTGCCTGCCAGGGAGCCAGAGGCATCCTACCATCAGCCCTTTACAGCACAGTAGCGCGGCCGGAAGCACAGCCTCTCCCTGACTCTGGAGCCAGGACCTGCTGGGTTTAAACCCCATTTTCACCCCTAACTTCTCTGTATCTCCCTTTCCTCATCTGTGAAGTGGGGAGAATCATATTATCTGCCTCAGAGAGTTAATAAGAGGATTGGGGGAGTCGATCTGTGGACGCCCTGACAAGTGTGCCCAGTGCATGGTACGTGCTCAGGAGCTCCGGGGATTTTATCCTGCCTGAGACAGGGAGCTCTCTGCCGTCAGTGACTCAACTGATTGATGGGTGGGTCAACTGTGTAAGGCCCGGAGGAGCTCGAAGCAGCTCTTCTTTTAACTCTGAGTGGTCTGTACCAGGCCAGTGTTCTTCCTCCTGAAATGGTAGAACATTCAGTATTTCCAACTGTAAATATTTCTACAGGGCCTGACTCCTTGCCGGGTCCCCCTGGTGCTTCTGGAGGTTTTAAGCCTTTGACTGGTACAGCCCCTCAGACTCCTCCTGGTCCTTAACACAGCAGCAGGTCTGGTCAAGGCACTTACCCCTGAAGGCCCTTTCCCTTGCCTGGGCCACAGAGGCCCCAACTGGGAGCCAAAATGAGCTTGAGACACATTTTGTTTGGCCTGCGCAGCATTTTAGGTTTTTAAATTTGTTACCAACACTTTAAATCTAGGAGACTTTTACATTAAAATTCTAAGTTCCCTTTTGGGGCTTAGGATTGTTCTACATTCTGATTGTGGTGGTGTTGATTTGGGTGTATACATTTGTTGAGTGGTGTACTTAAAATGTACATACTGTGTGTGTGTATGTGTGTGTGCCATTTATTATATATAAATTATACCTTCATAAAACTGATTAGAAACAATCCTAAGCTCCCAGATGCTCCTGAAAAAAATCTGAAGATCTGGCAACTTTAGGCCCACATGGCAAAAATCGGCTGGAGCAGTCCCCGCTAACAGGGCACCACTGTCCTCCCAACTTTGGAATGCCTCCCTGGCACTGAGCAGGAGGATTGGTCCCACTGTTTTTCCTACACTGTACCCACTTCTCTGCACCCTACTACCTGCTCATCCTTTTGGGATTCCAGCACACTACGCTTTGTCCTCTTGCAGGTAACAACACATGGGAGCCCCTAGCCTTGCTGCTGGCATGTGCAGGGCACGTAATAAATAAACCCCAGCAGCTGTCATCACGATCAACACAGCACCATCAATGTGACCTGGATCCCCTTACTCAGCAGAGGCCTCTCCCTTGACCTCTTTCTGCAGACTCTGTCCTGCCACCCCCGTAGCTGGGGGAGCTGGAAGCTTTATCACGGGATGCCTCCTGTTTCACCCCGGTAGAGAGGGACTCGAACACACTGTCCTTTGGCAGACCTTGTGGGCTCAGAGTGTCCTCTCCCCACCCTGCTCTTGGTGTAGGTAGGCACACACGCACATACACAGGCAAACACACACACGCAGCTGTGTCGTGTCTTCAGGCCTCAGCCTTGTGATCCCTGCGTTGTCCAGTGCATTCAGAGGAAGGAGAAGAGACTCTCGACACCATTCTGGAAGACAGGTGTCTTCTGATTGCCTATGATTTGGGCCCAACCCTGGCTGAGCCTGACCCTGTCCTTCATGAGAGAGCACCTAGCTTTTAGTAAAAATCTAATTCATTGTTACAACCAAAACGAAGTCCCACTGGGCACTTCAGAAAACCCAAGGAGGACCTTCACAAAGTCCTGGCACAATTTTCTTTCTTTCTTTTTTTTTTTTTTTTGGAATTTTTAAAAATTGTAATTCCAGTAGAGTTAATATACAGTGTTATATTAGTTTCAGGTGTACAATATAGTGATTCAAGGGGCGCCTGGGTGGCTCAGTCAGTTAAATGTCTGCCTTTGGCTCAGGTCATGATCCCAGGACCCTGGGACCGAGTCCTGCATCAGGGAGCCTGCTTCTCCCTCTCGCTCTGCCCCTCTCCCCCACTCACGCTCCCTCTCTCACTCTGTCGCTCTCTGAAATAAATAAATAAAATCTTTTTAAAAAATAAAAATAACAAAACAAAACAATATAGTGATTCAACCCTTCCACACATCACCCGGTGCTCATCACAAGTGCACTCCTTCATCCCCATCAGCTATTTCCCCCATCCCCCACTGACCTCCCCTCTGTTAACCATCAGTTTGTTCTCTAGAGTTAAGAGTCTGTTTCTTGGTTTGTCTCGGTCTCTTTTTTCCCTTTGCTCGTTTGTTTCTTAAATTCCACAGTCCTGGCACAATTTTCAAATTTAGGAGCCAGTGCTAGGATTTAATTCAATTCCACAAATCATTACTATACCCTTTTAGGAAACTTGAAGGGGTCTCTAGAAAGTCTCTGTTTTCAGCACCAACACTGTGTTAAATAGCCGGGGCTATTATACCCATTCTCTGCCACCTCCTGTGAGGCCCGCCCTGGCCACAGTCCACAGTGGGAAGCAAAGGCCTCATGTCACAGACCAACAAGGAGCTGACAGTCCGACTAGGGGGCTAGACCCAAACCTGTAGATGGTTACCGACAAGTATATTAAACACAAAGACCAGAAGAGAGATCAGTCACATGCCAAGCTGAACAGAGCAGACAAGAAATGTTCCAAGAACTCAGAAAAGAGAATGTTCTATGATATCCCCCATGCAGAAATTCTTAAATATCTGCAAAATGTTTGGTAGCTAATTTCACTAGTGTATGAAGAGCTATTACAAATCAATAAGTACAAAAAACTGAAATGGAAAAGGACATGAGCAGACAGTTCACAGAAAAATACAAATGCTTTAAATTTGTGAAAGATGCTAAAACTTCTAGTAAAAGAAATACAAACTAAAAACTAAATTGAGGTATATCATTCTATCTACTTCTGGTTATGTTTGATATTTTCCATAATGAAGAGTTTTAAATTTCTTATGAATTAAAAGAAAAAGAATTAGCACTAGGAGGCATATAATCCGTTGTCTTATTTGAATCTTAATTCAAATACAGAAACTGTAAGAAAAAAAAGCATAAGATGATTAGGAAAATTCGAACACTGGCTTTGGCAATATTAAATTACTGTTTAATTTTTAGTCATGATAATGGTATCCTAGTTACATTTTTTAAAAGAGCCCTTATCTTCTAGATATAAAGACTAATGTTTGTGGAGGAAATGACCCAATGTCTCAGATTGGCCTCAAAATAATCTAGAGAGGGAAGTCCATGGAGAATAGATGCCACAACATTGGTCTCCTATTATGGGTTCATAGGGTTTGTGATACTAATCTCTATTTTTATAAATGTTTGAAATTTTTCATATAAAAAAATTTGTATTTTGCAAAAATTTTCAAGTGTTAAGAAAAAACACATGCACAATAAGATCTCAGTTTTCAATCACCACGCAGGCACAGAATAAAAAAGTTGGATAATATGCTTTGTTAGCAAAAGGGGAGGCAACAAGCATTCCCATATGCTACCGACAGGAGACTAAATGGGAATAACTCCTTTGAAGGTCAAAATTTGGCTTTATGTACACAACTTTACCCTTTGGCTTCACCTTGCCACTTCTAGGAGTGTATCGTAGAGATAAGCTCACACTTCTATGGATACTCACTGCACCATTATTTGTAACAGCAAAAATGAGAAATAATATAAACAAACAATGATGTGGGACTGGTTAACAAATTAAGACACATCCCCCAACCGGAGCATTCTGCAACTTTAAGAACGAGGAAGCTTTCTATGTATACATATAAAACAATGCCCAAAATAAGTAAAAAAAAAAAAAAATCAAGGACAGAATAATGTGAGTAATATTTGAGTTAAGACCAAGAGGTGGTGCTTATAGATGAACCGACGACGTCTGGGAGGTTTTGCAGGAAAAAGGCACCTATGTCTGCATGGGGGGCGGGTGGTCTTGGGGGCTGGAGGCTGGAGTAGGAGGGACATGATGCTCTTTATACCACATGAGGCAGGCGTTTAACTGCTTAGCCGATCAAGCCCCCCAGGCGTCCCCCATGAATGTTTTGACCATGTGCATATATTAATTTTCTTCTTTAAAGCCGAAGTTGATGGGGCACCTGGGTGGCTCAGTCGGTTAAGCGTCTGACTCTTGATTTTGGCCCAGGTCATGATTTCAGGGTTGTGAGTTCAAGCCCCGTGTGGGCTCTGTGCTGAGTGTGGAGCCTGCTTAAGATTCTCTCTCTCCCTCTCCCTCTGCCCTTCCTCCACCTCACTCCCTCCGCCCTCTAAAAAAGTAAATAAATAAATAAAAATAAAGCTGAGCTTGCTTATCAGTGGAAGAGCAGAAGGTCACGTCTCCCCCACAGGCCAGACTCACAGGAGAGGCGCAGAAAGCAGGGAGCTAGGGGGAGGGGCATACTTTGGAAGAGGCTGCAGGGCAGGGCGGCAGGGAAGGGGTCAGCAGGGTGAGCTCTGGCCTGGCCGGGGATGAGGAAGGAAGGCACACTCCTGCAGCTTTGCTCTGGAAAGCCTCAGTAGCGGACACAGAGTCAGGCAGAGCGTCCTGTAGACCCAGCTTATCTCTTGCCAGGAGCTGGTGGATAACTACAGTGATCTGAAATGGTGGCTCCAGGCCGTCTGAGGGTGGCTAAGTGGCTGACTCTTAGCTGTTCCCAAACAGAGTGTTGCCTCTACACACCACACACACACACACACACACACACACACACAGCCAGCCAGCCAGCCAGCCAGCCCGGCCAAACTTCCATTAGCCAGCGGGTTTGATTATGCAATCCTTGGGAACAGCCACTCCCAGAAATGCCACACTCCTCCCCCAGGCTCCGGCTCCTTCATGGCCTGTGTCCCCCAGGGGTCACTGTCAACACTCATCTTCCAAAAAGCAGCTGCACACTCCGCCCACTCTGGGACCCACCGCAAGGTTGGGGACAGGAAGGGGAGGGTTCTAAAAGGGGGGTTTCTTTTGGGGTAAACTGGCTCCCACCTGTTTCCTACTCTAGGTGTGACAGAACAGAAAGGAGCAAAAAGTCACTAGAATGTCCAATAAGCTTCATTGTCCTCCTCTCCCTAATGGCCCATTCATCCCCTCTTCTAGGTGCTCTGAAGCTGCCCAAGGCCCCACAGGCCTCACCGAGGCACTGCCTCTTCCTTTCCCGGGGAAGAGCAGCCGGGCAGTGACCTGTCTAGAAGTCCACCTATAACCTTTAAAGTTGTCTCTCCTTTTCCCCATCAACAGGTCATGCAAGTGGCACAGGAAGGGAACAACAGCTCCTAGTGCTCCTAAGCCTATCCGTCTGGCTAGTGTCCCCACCAGGACCACTGGATCTCCCTTTCAGCCAGAAGGGTACCGGGGTAGGGAAGCAGGAACCAACCTCCAAAGGGCCATCAGCCAGGCTTCCTTTCCTCCAGGGGACACTCCCTTGCATGATGAAATCCACCACCTTCGAGTTCTGGAACACGGCCCCCACCAAAGCTATGGCCTTGTCCACGGCCACTACCATCCTGAACAGGGCTTCAAGCCTGGCGCCATGCTGGGCAGCATCCTGCCGCACAGCCCTCACCAGCTCCAGGACCTCTGGCCACCCAGCCTGTGAGTGAGCTGGAGGATTGTGGTCAGCCCCACCTGGGCCCAGAATCTGATAGGCCTCCAGCCGGTGTAGGCCTTGCTCCAGGTGGCCCATACCTTGATACACACACTGCAGTTTCTCCGAGACATCTTCTTGGAAATGCAAGAGTTTGTCAACCTTCTCGTTTAGCACATTAAGCTTTTTGTCCATGGTGGTTAAGCAGGCCTTGCCTGACACCGGCAGTCCCTGGGTCGCCAAACTCTCCTTGGAGGCTCCGGACATCCTGATGCAGGCTTGACAAGAGCGAGGAATCAGAAAAGCCACAGACTCCTGGTTTTCACTTGGACAGTGGTACCTGGAAGTTCATTGTTCTTGATAGCTTACAGCCTCGCCCTGCAGCACCAACCACACAGATCGTCTGGGTGGTTTAGGGAGCCCAGGGGACCAGGCTTTCTCTGAGCCTTTGCCTTTGCTTATCTCCCGCTCTGCCGTGGCCATGAGTGACAAGCTGGGTTTGGCAAGGCCCTTCTCTTTGGGGCCCTTTTGACATCATGGCAGCATTTAACATTCCTCTCTGAGAGGGTGCTGATGGGCAAATATTTTAAGAATCTGCCCAAGGCAGGCAGGGCTTTGGATAGTTGAAACAAAAGGGTAAAAGAAAGGGGGTCCTTTAGGCAATGAACCAGAATGCTGGACTTCACAAGGGGCCTCAGGAATCCCAGGGCAGAGTAAGACCTTTAGCAGCCCGAGCACATGGTATCCCACCTGCTGCAAACACACTGAATTCACAAAGAAAAGCAAGACCAATAGTAAATGTGAGGCCATTCTGATTTTTGCCATGATAAAAATGTTGATGCTTCTGCAAATTAAAAACAAATTTTTGGTGCCCCCACTTTGCAGGTGCCCCAAATAAGTGTTTACGCTGCCTGTGGGGTATAGCTGCAGGTCCCTCCCCACAATGGGCTCTCAGTCACTAGCAACTTGTACCTAAAAATAGAAGTGAGGGCAAATGGCTTAGGCTACTCGCCAGGTGCCATCCCTCAGGTCAGGTTCCTCATAGAGCCCTCTGGGGCACATCTGCCAGTGGTCTCCCGCCACCCCCCGCCCCCCCACGCTGCTCCTCCAGCACTAACCACCCATGCAGGCATTGGGCACCCCATCTCTTACACTAGAACAGACATAGCAGCAGCCTAGAGGGCAAGGGGGCCTGTGCTTCCCGTAGCTTCCAAACATTGTAGCCTCAAAACTCTTGGTTCAAATGGAGCTGTTACAGAAGCATCGATAAATAAAAGCAGACAAAGGAGATGCTCAGGCTGACACTGAGGTGGGTGCCAGGAGGCGCCACAGAGTCCCTAGGCTGCTGGGGAGCAAATGACTGACACCATGTTCTTCCAGGCCCACCTAGGGAGAAAGCTAAGGGAGAGGGAATTTGCCCAAGGTCGCCCCAGCACGAGGCCTCCTGAGGCTAGCACAGCTTAGTCAATACTGGCCCCAGGACGGGGCGGGGGGGCCGAGTGTCTTTGGTGTCCTGCTAAGCTTCCTCCTTCTGAATAAAAGCAATCATGAGAATAAACTTTGACCTGGAAATCTGACATCTAAAACACCTTTAGATCATTTTGCTATTTTAAGCTACAGGTGACTCGCAAGCACAGTGTGCTTGTTATGCAAGTGCAGCTTGACCACAAACCCCTTACCACCCATCCCTCTACCAGGATAGCTGCCCTAAGCAGTCCATGCAGAAATCCAGACCGATTTCTGGGGGCCCAGTCCTGCGTGTCAGTGGTAGAATGGCCTGGAGCACGCTCAAAAGAACACTGGTCTCTTATAGCACTGTGATTTAAAACAAACACACACTCTCCTTGGAAAAAGAAATTTGGGGAACACTGTGCTCTAGGTCCTCTTGGGGATTCACGATGCCCCTCCAAAGGACCTCATCTGCCACAGAAAGAAAGGTGCCACAGCACCTGACCAGGGAATCACTCCTTCCCCTGCACTTAGCACCTCTTACTGCTCTGTGGCACCAGGGGTCCCTGATCACACTTGGGAAGCAGCTGCATAGAGAAAGCTCTGGGTCTAACACCAGCTCAGTGTCTGTCCTACAGCAGGTATGGATAATCGAAAGAGAACAGCTCTGGGAAGGAGCTTCCACCAGTGCCAACCACAGGCAGCTGCTGTGGGGACCTTCTGAGCAGCCTACACCAGTTGAGCCTGGGCTTAATATCTTGAAAGTCCAGCTGAACCCCAAGAAAATCCAATGTCCCAGACACAGCTATATCAAAAGCTAATTATTTAAATTACAAAAGGATTTGTCCCAGGTCTCCTTAAGCAACAAGTGATTGCAAAGCACCTGGTGTAGTAGAAACGTGGATGTGGCAACCTCCACTGTTCTAGACCACCTCGAGGTTCCCTGAGCCCAAACAGTCCTTGAGCTTGCCTCAGTCTCCAGGTGCACCAACATGCCTGGCAAGTGGTGGGTATTCAACACAACCATATGGAAGGAATGAACTACGGGGACCCCGGATGAGCAGGAGGCTGGGCTGAGTTTTGGGAGACCTGTGGAAGGAGGAGACAGCAGCTAGGGTTTCCCAGAACAAAAAAGTACAGGGCAGGACATCTTGGCAATTCCTAGAGGTAAGCTCTGGAAAAAGCTCAGAATATGCTGACAGGTGAAATCCTTGAGGCTTCTTTGATGAAAAGGAGCAGCCAGGAGGACCAGATTTGAATCCCTTTCATTTCTCTGCCTAGAGAAGAAATGAGTCCTGTGAGGGCTGAGGCATGGCTTCTCTCCAACTCTCCCTGATGTACAGGGCACAGCAAGAACCATGGGCAATTCTTTTTGGGCAATGGTGCCTGCCCAGAGGAGAGGAGAGGCATTCCATCCCTCGAGTCAAGTGAACACAGACCAGAGAAGAGGCAGTCATGCTGGATGGGTACAGAGTAGCAAATCCAATGACACTTCATCTTTCCTGGGTGAGGACAGGACAGCTGACGCACTCCCAGAAAAACACAGACTGACCTCTGTTTGCCATAGGCTGGGATCAGCATGCACTGAACCCAAGATTCTTCCTTGGCCTTTCTGGCGACAGCCAGTTTTCCCTGTACAACCCCCGAGGCACTGTGGATCTTGAGGCCCCAGGTGGAATAAGAGGGGAGCAGAAATGCAAGGCTAAGTAGTCCATTCCAAAGCACTCTCCTCCTTCCCCACCTCTGCACAGAATGAGCACAGCTAGGAGAGGCCCTACCCTCCCTGGAGATCAGAGGTCTGTTTCTGGAGAAACTCAATGGTCCATGTACTGGCGTTGACGATCCCTGGGAACTCCTCATCTGATCAGCCTCAACAGCCAGACAGTCAACAAGCCTCAACCACTCACCTAGGTTTTTGTGCCTTACTCTGAAATATGCACAGATAGAAAAGGATCACCAGGTATTCAAACAAAGCCCCCAAGATGAAAAGGGGAGCCCCCCAAAATAGAAACATAATTGTGGAGGAAACAGAGAAAACAAGAAACAGAAGAAAGTTTCAAAAAGGCTCTCATTAGTTGCCACCGAAAAGTGCAAAAGGCTATTCCATCCATTTAAAAAGAAGAAGGTGTTATGGGAAAAGAACAGGCATAGAATAAAAGAGAGGTCTTGGAAATTAAAAATATGAGTGTTAAAATTTTAAAATCCAATATGGAGATGAGAAAATAAAGTTAAGATAATATCCCAGAAAGTAGAATTAAAAGATGAAGATGCCTACATAGGAGAGAAAAGAGAAGAGAATAGACAAGGGATCCAGCCCCACATCTAGTTAACTGGAGTTTCAGGAGGAGAAATGAAAGAGGGAAGGAATTTATCAAAGAAATAGTACAGTCAGAATTTTAGAACACAGGGATAAAGAGAAGATTACAAAAGCTCCCCAAAAGGTGAAAGAAAAAAAAATCACATACCAAGGAACTAGAATCAGGATGATATCAGACTTCTCCTAAAAACAAATGGCTGCTGGAACACAGGCAGGATGTAGAATTCTAGGTTAGAGATTTGAAGACATCACACCTTTGTCAAAGGACAGAAGGAAGCATTTCAGGAAGCACTGAAGGAAGCACTCTTTGAAAGGACATTAAAGTACATGACTTGATTTTTCAGTGAATGGTCTTTGCATACTATTGTTCACACTATGATGCGGTAATGGGGTCAACGCTTTACAGAGTTAAAACAGTGATGTTGTAAGGATGTGGGGGGGAGTGGGGACAGTAACAAAGCTGAATCATTTCTCTTCGCAGGAAGCACACAGATCATGTACAGAACTGATGAGGAGGAAAGTGCAGGCAAATACCAGGAGAAAGAGCTGAAAGACACCCCCATGTTTGCCGCTGGGAAGCAGGTCGGGAAGCAGGTTTTGCAGAGGTCCGGGTACCACATGCGAGGGGATGTGTATATTTACGACAAGTGTTGCAGCATGCCATGGCAAGGGTCTTGCCGTAACAGCATCAGCTACAACCATTTTCTGAGAGATGGAGGCCACGTATCTCGAGGAAAGGACGCTTCTCTACTTCACACGGAAGGACAGTAGGGGCAGTGACCTGCATGGAACTTAACCTCTCCAAATGCAGGTTTCCTCATCTCGAAAGGGGGCGCATGAAGTGCAGTAACCACAGGGCTGTTAGAGTCCTCATGTAAGTGAAACGCTAAGCAGGGGCCTGGCACATGGTAAGTCACGAAAACAGGAGACACTCAAACTCACCGCCCCGAACCCATCCCCCGCTCCAGATGGTCAGCCAACAGGACAGCAGCATGTCCAGCCACTTCGTTGTGGGGTGAGGGCAGGAGGGAAAGGAGGCATCTCCCCAGTCCTAAATCGGCCCCCCCACCGGTACCCAGCCCACCCAGGCCACCTCCCTTGCAGGCACCATCAGCTGATGTGCACGCAAAAAGTGCAAACCTGTCCTCCATTAAGCCGAACTGAGTCAGAAAAGGAAATCAGAGATGAAACAGAACCCCAGAAAGCCTCGCTGGGTTCAAAGCAGACAACTTGGGGGTTAGAGGCACAGGGCGTTGTCTGCCCGCTACACCCTGCCTTAGCTGGGGAGGCCCACGCTGACCATCCCTGGGCTGTTAGCCATCAACCAAAGCTTCCTGCTGACTGCGTTTCTTGGTCCAAGAGGACCTACGTCTGGGGGATAATTGTCACCAAGGCTCCCTTAGTCCCATGACCCTAACAATTGTCCCTGAGGGCTCCCACTTCAAAGCAGACTGGCCTGGAGCCGCCCTTACCGCAAATATCTGGATGTAACCTGATGCCC